AACTTATCTGCTGTATATAATAAATAAATGCCACTAATCCACAGCTGTACCCCAGTACTCAATACAAATTGCTCCCAAGCAATTCTCAATTTTCCACCCCTTCATATTTATGTTACAAGGGAAACAGCAATGGGAGCCTTAAGACTGCAACCATGGGGTGACACCTACCGTAATGATTCTGTAGGTCACAAAAATCGTAATTGCAGCGCAGAACTGTTCATCTGAAGAGAAACTAGGAGTAAATTCCTCCAAAATAACCCTTCACTGAGAAAGGCTTCAATTCTAAACAGAAAAGTAACAGGTAAGGATTGTTCCGTGATCAAAAATTTACCTCAAACTACCACACTTAGAGGAATCTAACTAAAGCTTCAAAGGCAATGAAGGCATGCCAAAAAAAAACTTTGGTAGAGGTTGAGGACTAAATTAAAAAATGATACTAATTTCAGCATACTAATTCCATTTTACTCAAAATTCAACTTACACACTTATTCACGATTCATACAGATTTGTTCATAAATACACTATATTAAAGAAGTTTAAGGGAAAGGTGTGAAAGGAGAATATAATGATATAGAATTTAAAATGTCACTTTCTAAAATCTGTATTTAGCAGCAGTATAATTGGTTGGTATAAATCCAAAAAAAGTTCTAAAACGCAATACAATTCTGTGTATGTGTGTGAGTTTTATTGGCTCATTTGAATACGCTCAGATACAAAATAAAATATTTCCTTCAGGTGGATAAAACCAACATTTAAACTGGTTTTATAACAACAATTCTCCTGAACTTTAAGTCTGAAAAATCATGACTAAGCAGTTATGTCACAACATTTTGTTTTTATGACTTGATAATCAACAACATCCAGTCACCTGCACTAAACCTGGTTCTGTGCCAGTTATTTAGCTATTTTTAGCTGAAGGAGAAATTTAAGTAAACAAAAAACCGTTTTATAACCAGTTTTGTTATTTTTATTTTTTTGAATTGGTTTATATTTGGTTTGGAAATAAATAAGCACAGGTATATTGTTGTAGGTCTTGAAATATACAGTTCAGCTGCAAAATTAATTACATGTTTATACAATTACAACTTTCCAGTCAAATCTAATAATGTGAAATATTTTATTGATCTAATGCACTTGTAGTTTGGTAGTCTATAATTATCTTCATCTACCTATGTTTATTTGTTTACATAAATTACATAGCCTCGAAAATTTGTGGTGTCTTTACAAACGAACTAATAAATTTAATAAATTAGGTGTAAAAAATGTTCTGAAAAAGGAAAAGCTTAACATACTCATCATATTTTCAAAAATAAATAAACAAAACAAAATAAAAATAGAAGTGTTTTGGTATGTTAGATGCTGAGGTGTTAATGCAAAGATAAGTTTATCAAAATGAACTGAAACAAAACAGAAATAGGCACTCTACAAATCTCAAGAAGAATTTCACAATTATTTTATTGTAATTTTGTCATTACTTAGTCATAATTTGTCAGGTGACCCAGTGAGGTTAGGAGGACCAAAATGATTGGTAAAAACAGGTTCTGCATCTGGAGAAATTTCTAATTAATTTCAAGTTAACCACACGTCATGTAAACATCACAATTTTTTTATTTTATACTTGGCTAAAGTTAGCAACGACAGTGTTTATTTTATTGACCTCCAATACCCTTGTCTATTAGTGCAAAACAGTTGGCCAACTAGTCGACGTTTTATTGAAATGTTTTTCCAATTTTCCTCTTTGTGGCAACAATTGAAAAAAAAAATGAAAGATCAAGGACTTGGCACATGTCTACATTGTGTCGCAACAAATTCCATACTATGTAAACATTGCAAAATTTTATTTGTGACTCTATGTAGCAAATATGAAGTTTAGTGTTTATCAACAGTTTTAAAAGAACAGTGCGATAGTCAAATTCGTTGTTTAATTGTTTAATAACAATTTTAAAGATCTTTGTAAACCCAAGAAGGAATTTAAATAAAGAGAAATCAAAAAGGGGCTAGGGTTTACATAAATAAATAAAATGAAATAATTCTGGTTCAGGAATGACATCCCTTTAATTTAGCCCAAACATAACTGTCTAAATGCTTTTTTTGTTCATCATGCCTACTGAAAAATTTCATAAATATTGATAAGAATAAAATTTTCTGCTTGGCAGAGGCAACTATATACCGTAGAAAAAGATAAATGTTTTTGTTTATCAAGCCGACTGTAAAATTACATAAACATTGATAAAAATATAATCTTATGCTTGACTGCAGCGTTGTTGTTGCATCTGAAGATGTTCACTGCGTATAACCATTACGAACCTTTTTAAGAAAAGTAACTATTAATTAACCAAAAAGCTAAATGTCTAAATAGTTTTTTTGAACTTATTTAAAAGGTTCTTATTCACAGTTTGTTGTTTTCAACTAGTTAGTTGAAACTTCATTGAAAAAACAAGCTGTGAGTAAGAACTATGTTTTAAAGTATGTTGCTAAACAACACGCTCACCCAACCTTTATAATTTCTATAATTTTTTGTTCAACTAGTATCATACATACTGTCAAATTTTATGTTAATCTACAGTTAGCAATTATGGTGTTTCGTGTTCACTTTGGGTAACTATTATCAACCATTTGCTGAGAATAATATCTATTCAATTTTTCCAAAACATAACTGTCTAATACTGTTGTTAGTTTACAATTACAAAGATATTAATAAAAAGGTTTTTTTGCTTCGCTGAGGCAACTATGATACTGTTGCCAAAAGATAAATGTTTTTGTTCATCATGCTGTAAAACTTTATTCTTATCTACAATTAGCAACTATGATGTTTCATGTTCACTGTGGTTAACTATTATCAACCATTGGCTGGAATAATATCTATCCAATTTAGCCTAAAAATTACTGTCGAGTTGCTTTTTATGCTCATCAGTTCTAAAATTAGATAAATATTGATAAAAATAGAATTTTATGCTTGGCTGCAACTATGATTCTGTAAAAATACTAAATGTCTAATTACTTATTTTTGTCATCCATTGGTTGCAGCAGCTATGATACTGTGTACAGTCATTATCAACCTTGTATTAACAATAACATCTATTAAATTAACCAGAAAAAGCTAAATATCTAAATACTTTTTTGTGTTCATCCATCATGCCTACTGTAAAATTACACGAAAACGATTTTTATGCTTATCAACAGTTAGAATGGTGTTACATGTTCACGTGATTAACCATTATCAACCATTGCCCGGGAATAACATTTATTCAATTTTGCCCAAACATACCTGTCTAAATGCCTTTTTTTAGCCATCCGATAATGTCTATTGTAAAAATGGCATGCATATTGATAAAAATAGAATTTTATGCTTGACTGCAGCAACTATGGTATTGTGCATAATGATTATCAACCCTTTGTTAAAAATAACATCTATTAAATTAACCGGAAAAATACTAAATGTTTAATTACTTCTTTTTGTTTATCCAACATCAAGCATACTGTATAATTACATTAAAATTATCTTTATGCTTATCTACAGTAAGCATCTATGGTGTTACATACTTACATGTTCATTGTGGTTAATCATTACCAACCATTGGCCGGGAATAACATTTATTCAATTTAGTCCAAACATAACTGTCTAAATGCTTTTTTTTTCTTTTTTAGTTATACAATCATATCTATTGTAAAAATTACATAAAACATTGATAAAAATAGAATTTTAAATGGCAAAAAGGAGGGAAAATTCAAAAGGTGGGGTTGAGATGGAAAGTTGGTGTCCGAGTGGCCGTATCTAGCCGAAGATCGTGGGTTCGAATCCCGCTCGTGCCATTGACTTTTGTATCTCTACTATAAACTTTAATTAATTGTAATATATTAATTGGTCAAGCAGACCACGAAATTAGTGAATTTTATAGAATTTTAAGTTTGGCGGCAGCACCTATGATACTCTATTTAACCATTATCAACCCTCTATTAACAATAAAATCTATTCAATTAACACCAAAAAGCTAAACATCTAAATACTTTCTTGTGTTCATGTAACATCATGCCTATTATAAAATTACATTAAAAATCTTTTTATGCTTATCTACATTTAGCAGCTATGGTGTCCTGAGTTCACAGAGGCTAAACCTTATCCATTGGCCGGGAATAACATTTATTCAATTTAGCCCAAACATAACTGCCTAAATGCTTTTTTTAAGTCATTTAATAATTTCTATTGTAAAAATTACATAAAACATTGATACAAATAGAATTTTATGATTGGTTGCTGCAACTATGATACTGTGTACAGTCAATAACATCTATTCAGTTAACCCCAAAAAGCTAAACATCTAAATCCTTTTTTTGTTCATCTAACATCATGCCTACTATAAAATTACATTAAAAATAGTTTTTATGCTTGTGTACAGTTAGCAGCTATGGTGTCCTATTTCAAAGACGTTAAACAATATCAATCATGTCTATTGTAAAGATTGCATGAATATTGATAAAAACATAATTTTATGCTCGGCTACTACTGTATTCTCCGAGTTTATCCATTATCAATCCTCTGTGGAAAATAAAAGCTATTCACTTTAGCCAAAAGATAAATGTTTATGATCATTATGCCTACTGTAAAATTACATAAGCGTTGATCAAAATATAATCTTATACGTGACTGCAGAGATGTTTATTGCAATTTTATGCTTGTATACAGTAACTATAGTTCTCTGTGTTTATGCATTATCAACCCTCCATGGAGAATAACAGATTAACAGTTATTCAATTTAACCAAAAGTTCATCATGCCTACTGAAGGCTTTTACATAAACATTGATAAAAATATAATTTTACTCTTGGCTACTATGGTATTCGCTTCATAGGTAATTTACCTTGCCAAGTTACTTGAAAATTTACTGAAAATTTTCCGTTTTCCTCTTTAAGGTAAAAAAGGGAAAAATTGATGGTCAAGGACTTTACACATGGCGACGTTGAGTTGCATGGAACTCCCACTTATTTGTCCGTTGTTACACATTTACATGCACAAGATATAAACTGGTTTTTGAAGTTTTTTCTTTTTCTTCTAATATGCGGTTGTATTAGACGAGACGGTGTGGCAAGATAAAAGATAAGCGTTCTGTTTAAACTTTAAACTCTGTCTGGTTGGTGGGGATTCGAGTGGGGAGGCGATTACATTTAGTTTTAGTACTGGCAGATCGTGCCCAGGCCACTGCTTCGTTTTGTCTGAGACGGTGTCGAAAATGGATCTCTATTCTTCGGACAGCACAGATTCTTCCGGGCCTGAGGTAGCCTTCAACACGATCGACTTGTCCTACCACAGGCTTAGCCAGGAAGCTTTCGAAGACAAGATGCTCGCTTTCGAAGAGGAACGCAGAAACATGCACAGGGTCCACAAGCTGCTCATAAAGTGCAACCAGCTCTCTTTCTTGCCGAGTTGCATTTCCTCCCTTCACAACCTCCGACACGTCGACGTGAGCAACAACAGGCTGACCTCCTTGCCGGAATTTTTCACCAGGTTTCCACTCGTCACCCTCAACCTCAGGAACAATTCCATCAGCAACGAAAACCTGCCGAAGACGTTCGCCAGCTGGTCTCGCAGCCTCAGGAAGCTCAATCTCGGTGGCAACGCCCTCAACGTCTTTCCGGAACAGTGCCTGGAGCTGGAAGCGCTGCAGCAGCTGTACATGGGAAGCAACGCCATTGAACACATTCCCAAGAGTATCGAAAGAATCTCTGGGTAAGAACTTTATTTTTCAAGACTAATTGTTAGTTTATATTTAGCATAAAAGACAGCATACTTTCACTTTTAAAGATATACAGTGCTCTCTCTCACCCCCTGCAGCAATTTATTAAGATTACTGAAAAATTCCGATTATAGAGGGGACCGTACCACAGTCTTTCAGATGAGGCGGTTTGGTTTATTCAGCAAGTTGCCCGGTTGAATCTCAACTAGACTTTCTTTGCTGGTTTCACACCAGGCAGCTTGTGGAAAACCTCTCTTCCAAACTAGAGGTCAGTACGATTAGAACGCATAAAAGCAGGAGCATTTCTTGTGCTTGCTCTTCTGCAAAAAGAGAAACAAAATAGGAGGAAACCCAGTACAGAAAAGTGTGGGTTTATCGTTTGGTATAAAATTGGGAAACGGGCGCTTTCTCTCAAATACAGTTGTGCTACTTACCTCCAAACTTTCTTTCTTTTAATTTTGTCGCTATACTCCTCGCACCTCGTGCCCCATATTGCGCGACTAATATGAATTTCTTCAATGAACTGCTCCACATTGAAACTTGCAATTGCAACGCTTTCCACAGTGAACTCAGTTGACTCAACTAGGTGACTGGTGTGAAGGACAAATGCAAAGCAGTGTCTTCTGTGTTGAGTCAACCAATGGGTATGAGAATGTGCCGGCCACCTGCCTGGGCGGACGAGTTGTCTGTGTGTGAAGGAGTTGGGGAGATTCACAAACATTTTGCTACCTGGTTACACTCCTTGACACCCGTCGGTTCAACTAGTTGAATTGACTAACCGCCCCGTCTGAAAGAGGCCGAAACCGCCTCGCAAGCTGCAGCTAAGAAAAATAAATTTTTAATATTCAACATTTTCAGTGTCTTCCTGCTTATCTGTAATGTAGGTTGACTTTTTGGATCATTGGTTACAAAAGAGGCAAATTTGGTGGAAAAAAAATCACAGTTATTTTTTCATTATTACCGACTACCTCATCAGCAAACATCCCACACCATACACCAATTTCATTTTTGGACCCACTGTATTTTTAATTATGCAATTGTATGACTAACAAAAATTGCACCATTAAATAACATATAAAAAAAAATGTTATGTGTAATAGGTTAATTGATATTTATGTACTATCTAGTTTGTAATTTCCTCACAAATTATTCCACCAGACCCAGAAACAAAAGAAGCATAGTTGGGGGGGGGACTTAAAAAAAATAAACTAGAAAAAACTAATGAATAATAGTCAATTGTCACATTTCTGTTAAAGAATAGACAGATTCTAGATACCGTTCCACTATCAATTTGGTTCTAAATAAGTTTTGGTATATATCAAAACAATTTTAATTAAAAATAAAAATAATAAAACACCTTGCATTAGTGAAATAAAATGCAAAAATTAAAAGCTTTAAAAGTTGAAAATAGCACAAAAACATAATAAACCATGAAAATGTAATAAATTACAAAAAATTGTGTACAAAACGTAATAAATCACAAAATACAGCCAGGGTGCCACAAGGTTCAGTTTTTGCCCTCACATTATTCAACATCTGTATTATGTCAGAAATTTAAAGTTGTGAGATACATGTTTACAATAATCTGATGACAGGACTTTTTTCATGCTCTCATTTTGAATCGACAAAATCACCAATAATTTATCGAAGCCGTACAAAAAATGTTTTAAATATTTAATGTTTAAACTTGGTAGTTATTCACTAAAACGAAGCTTGAAGTGACTCCAAGCTGACTTCCACCCACATCAATTGTCTTTGACTAAACCATTGGAGCACTTGACAAATTATTCCCGTTAATAAATAAATAATCTGGCTTAAATTAATTTAAAAAGCTTATCTACCTTCTCTATATAAGACCCATTTTAACTTACTGCCCCGTTTAGTTGAATAAATATAAAACCAATTATGAAAAACTCCTAATTGCTCAGAACAAATGTCTAAGACTGGTGGGTGGGTGCATTTCTTCAGGTGGACTGCTATTGATCATTATATGCACTTTATCCTTAGCGTATCCACATACATTTACTCAGTGACAGAAAATGTTATGAACTCATGTGAGAACAACCCTCATGAGTACATAAATTATTAATTGTAATATTAGTTCGCTCATTTATAAAAAATATAAACATAAGGGAATGAAGCCTATTCTATTATAATTTCATGTTTTATTTCTTCCAAATTTTCCCAAAGTTTTTTTCTCTCTCGTTTTTAGTTGATAAATGATGTAAGCTTAATGACAGAATGTATATAGTCGACTACAACCTCTCATCAATTTTGTACATTTGTATGCATATGGTAAATAAAACTTATAGTAATAAGAAGTATTATTTGAATTGCCATTTGAAAATATGGCAAAGAGAGGGAAAATTCGAACGGTTGTAGGTTGAGATGGAAAGTTGTTGTCCGAGAGGATCGAAGTCACGATAGCTCAAGTGGCAGAGTAGTGGCGTATTTAGCTGAGGGTCATGGGTTCGAATCCCGCTCGTGTCACTGACTTTTTCATCAGCCAAAAACCTTAGATAAAAAGAATAATTAATTGTAATAATATGATCAATTATGACCACTAAACAAATAGGGATTAATTTAATAATAATAATAATTATTATTATTAATGGGGTTGAGATAGGAAGTTGATGTCCGAGTGGATCGAGGTCACGATAGCTCAAGTGGTAGAGCAGTGGCGTATCTAGCCGAAGATCGTGGGTTCGAATCCCGCTCGTGCCATTGACTTTTTTTCATCTCAACTAAAAACCTTAATTAATTTTAATGATTTAATTGATCAAGCGGACCACGAAATTAGTGAATTATTATTAATCATAATATGTGAGTAGTATTTTTTTAAAATTATTTTTTCATGAAGGCTCAGAACTGCAGAGTTTGTATCAGCCCTTGGGTTTTAGTTTTTTTTCTCTGAAAAAAATTTCTCTTGTAAATACCTTGGGTTTAAATTTAGGATTGCTGAGATTTTATTGTGGGAACATTCAGTGTTGACCTACTGTGACCACAAATTTATAGTAGTAAAACTAAAACTACAACTGCTACTGTAACTATAAAACTTAATTTGGCCATTATATAACATTTTGGCTGTTATCGTTTTGTTAAGTTTTTTATTGCGAGATTTCTTTAATTTTACTGTACTGATTATCATGGTCTGTCAATCCTTTGGTATGTCAGAACAGAGGATAAGATCATATGAAGAAATCTTGCAATATAAAACTTCATTAGATCACAAAAATGCACCCCCCCCCCAAAAAAAAAGTGATAAACAACAAAATTTTAACTTGTTAGATTTCCACATATAATCTGTGGGGTGATGAACTTGTAGTTTAGCCATTTCTGATCATTTTGGTCTGTCTATTCTCACTGGTTTGGTCTGTCAGAATGTTTTGCATTCTTGTCATCTTCGATCTGAAAAGAGTGACAAGCTAAAATCCATCTTAAGGACCAAACCAGCAAGGATAGGCAAATCAAAGTGATCAAAAATTACAAAACTACATCGAAATTTTAGTAAGTTGAAAAAACTGAATCGTAAATCTTTATTTCTCCCATTTCAGATTGATGGTTCTTTGCCTTGGAGGGAATAGATTATCCGAAGTACCTGAGACCGTAGGTAACCTCAACAACCTCGAAGTTCTAATACTTAATGACAACATGCTCGAAAGCCTGCCACGAACCATAGCGAGCCTGAAAAAGCTCAAATCCCTTCAGTTGCACAACAACCTTCTCCGCACATTGCCTACGGAAATAATCACATTGAAACATCTGAGTGAGGTATGTTCAGCATCTAGCAAAATATATTTTATCATTAAGACTAGTAAAGTATCTTTACATTACAAATATTTTGTTTTTAAATTTGTTTTAAGAAAACCCTTTGAATGAAAATGGCATCATTGATTTTGATAACATTTTGAAATTTTAAACAATCAAATGTAGTGCTCTACTTGAGCCAATTATTTGCGCAGTCATTTTTAGACCTCTCATAAAGATTTTCATTTTAATATTTATCGACCACTGAATGATGCAATAGGCAGATAATGCTTCCAAATTCCTTTATAAAACCATAAAACATGGTCATTATCATAGATTAAATATAACAAAACTTTAATATGTATTCAAATGACACGATTGCGTGTTAGCGGTTATCAGACATTGACCTTGCTTTCTTTTTGTTTTAATTTCCCCCTCATTTTACTTAAGCATTTATACTTTATTAATAGGTAAAAAATTTAAAAAAAGGTCAAATTTTTTCATCCCAAAGTGAAACAACTGTGAAATTTTTTGAAAAGTTTTGCCAGACGGATACGGTAATTACCTGGCCTTGTAATTTATCTTTCTACTTCCTATTTGAAGCGGGGAGACAAAACTGATTTGTCATTCCGCCTTGAACTTGAACACTTGAAAATTGATTTTTGAACAAAATTAACAGAAAAAAAGAACTGTTTTTAAATGACTAACAAATATTTCCAAGAAATGGAAAATAGCTTTAGTTCCCAGATGGGTAAACATTGTAATAAAGTTGTTTATGGATAACAACCGGCCATGGTAATAAAATAAATTATGCGCATAGATTTCTCACAGGTTATATTCAAAGGTTTTCAAGTTTTTATTTTGTATTTTTTAATTATCACCTCCTTTCCCAATCAGATATGCGAGCTGGTAGGTCATTGGCCTTATTTTTAATCTTTTCTCTAGATCTCAATTTCTCTTTTTGTTTCACTTTTCTCAATTTGAAAAAAGTAAATAAAATCAAATAATATTTGTGTTAACCAATTGTTACATTTTAATTGATAACATTTTTAAAAGATCAGCACTTATTACATTAACAAAATTTATTTTTTTAATTTTTACGCTGTACAATATTTATATTAACCTTGATTTCAAAGGATGGAGATAATACGTTTTATTAACTTTGATAAGATCATTAATCAGTCTAGAGATATGAAATTTTTTCAAATTCTTGATTTATTAATTTAACAAAAATAATTATATTTTGTACTTTGATAGATAATAGATAGATAGATGAATTGATTGAATGGCTGCTTTTATTTGTATGAAAATTTGATTCTTTACAAATGAGGTTGGTTTCATACAAATTTATACGTAAAAATTAAAAGTTCAAGAATAAATTAATGCAGATTATGAAATGTTTTTAAATAATAAAGCAATAAAATTATGAAATATGAAACACTTAGAATGGGAGTAGACTGGCCAGGAGTTTAGAGTGTCCAACTTCATACAGGGTTCAAATCCCATATAGCCTTTGGAATTTTTAAACCTGTAAAAAAAAAGGCTTAAGTATGAAAAGGATGCTGCACTTCATGCGAACAAAACGCAACTGGCCAGCTTCCAAGAAGATCATTAGCAGAGCTTGGACACAGATGAAAATTGCATTGGGCCTTACGACTCAGGAAAAAAAAATTCAACTGACTATCTTCAGTCAGCAAAATCAACATAAAAAATATTAATTAAGGTTTTTAGTTGAGATAAAAAATTCAGTGTCACGAGCGGGATTCGAACCCACGACCTTCGGCTAGATACGCCGCTGCTCTGCCACTTGAGCTATCGTGACTTTGATCTGCTAGGGCACTAACTTCCCATCTCAACCCCACCTTTTTGAATTTTCCCACCTTTTTGCCATTTTTCAAATGTCGCGTAATCTGTTTGATTCTCGGCGACAAATGAAATGGCCACGGAGAGCTTTAGTGACGTATACTTCATTTTAATTCATTAAATTCACTAATTTCGAGGTCCGCTTGACCAATTAATATATTACAATTAATTAAGGTTTTCGGTGAGATAAAAAAGTCAATGGCACGAGCGGGATTCGAACCTACGAACTTCGGCTAGATACGCCGCTGCTCTGCCACTTGAGCTATCGTGACTTCAATCCACTCGGGCACTAATTTCCCATCTCAACCCCACTTTTTGAATTTTCCCACCTTTTTGCCATTTTTCAAATGTCGCGTAATCTGTTTGATTCTCGGCGACAAATGAAATGGCCACAGAGAGCTTTAGTGATGTATACTTCATTTTAATTAATTAAAATCCTTATTTTTTGTGGTCCGCTTGACCAATATCATTCAATGAATTAAGGTTTTTACTTGAGATAAAAAACCTTAATTAATTGAGTGATATTGGTCAAGCAGACCACGATCAAGTGGGGTAGAATCTTCATCTATAAGGCAAAATTGAATATATATATTGAATATTGATACAATATTGAATATTTTTCTTCTTATTCACTCAGAATCGTAAGAACAAAATCAATCGAACAAACAATTTATGTGTCCGAATCAATCAATAATTGAAGACAATTAACCAACAAAAAATGAATAGGAGTAGCAATTCTTCTTTTTGTCTAAATCGAGTTATTTTCTGGAAGTTTTATTAATTATTTTCAATAACTCTATCTACATGCAGACAAGTAATGATTGCTATATGTATCCATGAAACTAGAATTTTGGCAAAATGAAATAAATACTCAATTAATTATACACAATTTTTTTTTGAAATGAAAGTATAATCGTTAATAAAAAGTGTTTCTATATGAAGCCGCGATTTGCTTATAATTAGAATAAAATCAGGTAGTCGAAATGAGAAGTTTGTGGCATGGGTGATCGAAGTCACGGTAGCTCAAGTGGTTAGAGCAGCGGCGTATTGAGACGAAAGTCGTGGGTTCGAATCCCGCCTGTGACACAAATTTTTCATTTCGAAAAAATATTGTGTATAATTGATTATTTATATATTTAATAGAAACTGATAAAATTGACTAAAAATGAGATAAGTTAAAATTTCATGAAAAATTTAGGCCTAGTGATGTCCCTTTTTAGGCATATCAGAAAGTTAAGACAACATTTCAATGATTCTAACTTGACTATTTGTAAATTCAAATTAATCATATATAGAAATAAAATAGTGTATTTGCCTAGTAGTAAAAAAGTTTGCATACAATTTCAGTATATCATATTGAGGTTTAAATTGATTCAAAAAGTGTGGGGAAAATAATGCTTGTATAATCAATAAATTTGTATCGAATTTACATGCAAAACTTTTTTTCCCTTGTTCCTAAAGCCTAAATAATAACATTAAAGCATTAAAGTTATAATTAACAAAACATGTAACAAAAAATCTGCGTACATTGCAAAACTTGTGACAAAATTAATTTACATGTGAAATGAATAATCGATGGGCTTCCTTTATTTAGTCCTTCATAAAATTGGTTTTTCATCAAATATGTATATTAAGTTTTTGGTTACATCGGGATTCTTCTTTGACAGCTTCAGTCAGGTGACATTTTATTTTTTGTGCCATGAGTTTTCAATCTTCTCTTCATTTCTTCCCAGAGAAATTTGATCCAGCAATTGTGGGGGTGTTTTTGGTTGGCGGAGGGTGCTGTACAGTAACCACTCCTCTGTTTTCTTAGCATGATGTTTCGGGTCAAAGTTTCTGGGCACAGGGCACTAAGAATTGTTATGTAAACGTGTTGGTTCATCCCCTTAAATAATTTTTAATAATAATAAATAATAAATTTATTACATTTATAAATCTGTTATGATTATTATAATTTTATAACATCGTTTTCTTTCCATTTTCTGCCTCCAGCTGAGTCTTCGCGACAACCCACTCGTTATCAGATTTGTCAACGACATGACGCTCAACCCTGGTACGCTGCTTGAAATCGCAGCGAGAGCTGTTAAAGTTCAGAACATCCCGTATGTAGCCGACGATCTGCCCAAGACTCTCAGGGACTACTTGAACACAGCACATCACTGTTTGAACCCTAAGTGCAACGGTAAAGTAGCGTGTTTTTCACATTTTAATTCTTTATATTTTTTCTTTCTTTTTGCAAGCGACAATGCTTTCCTTGTTTACCCTCATTAATTGCATTCATGTACATTACATTTCCAACTTGTTTTGACTGCTCCTCACAAGGTCAGCTTTACTCAGACACATTTTCCTTCGGATTATAAAGGACAAGGCCATCTCGTTTTATAAGTGATGGCGCAGTTGCATCTAATAATTTTTTTTTTATTATTGTTTTCTTTTTGTTTCTATTTTTAAAACCTCTCAAACAGGGTTGCTGAACTTATTGTTTTGAAGATATAAACCTGTTTTCTTTTTAAATTTTTTAATTTAAATTATGATTCATGACAACTCAAATCTCTTTAAAATGCTTTGTTGTTTATTATATTTATGAACTAACAATTTAATAAATTTTTTTGTTCATGCTTTTGGTATAAAGCTCTTTATAACAATTTTGTAGATACATGTGTGTGTGGAGATTAGTGACCGTTAATCGATAATTATTCAGATATCGTGAGATGCGGTCTGGTGTGATGTGGTTTCAGAAAAACATTTTCTTTATCGTGCCAACTTTCGATCTTTTATTGAGATCATCTTCAGGGCCTGGGATTTCCAAACAATGTTTACATTTAACAATTCCATTTAGGATGTGGAAAAGTGAATTTATACAATGCAAAATATATTTTATATTCAAACACTTTGAGTGAGTAGAAATACTTTGTTTGAATATAAAATATATTTTGCATTGTATAAATTCACTTTTCCACATCCTAAATGTATTTGTTAAATGTAAACATTGTTTGTAAATCCGTGGCCCTGAAGATGATCTCAATAAAAGATCGAAACGTTGGCATGATAAAGAAAATGTTTTTCTGAAACCTACATCACACCAGACCACATCTCACGATATCTGAATAATTTGTAGATACATTTTTCTTGGGCCCTACTCCTAGTGGAAAATTTCCAATTTATTTGTTGTAATACTCCGATGGAAGGATTTTATAGAAATGTTGAAAATGGGTGAGGATACATCTCCTACTCACAGATGTTTTGTTTACATTGATCCGGATTTCAAGCATTAAACACTCATCAGGTCGAAAGAGTTATAAACATGCCTTTCATACATACATGAATTGTAAGAGTAACAAAAAATTAAACAATTTGTGAGTAAGAACCATCCTTTACAAAAAGTGAATCAACATGGTCACCCACAATTTTTATTATTTTATCAAGAGCAACAGTGGTTGATGGGTCGCCCTAAGAGGACCAGACTTGTAGAAGAGGGATCATACTACATTTTGAAATAAATGTTTTCTGTGTTTAGATGTTCAATTTTTTACAGTACAATTTCTTTCGTCTCTAAAAGAGCTTTATAACTGGAGCCCGGATTTATACACAATAAAAAACCTAAACTGTGCCATATAGTATTCACCAAAAAACCATAAATATGCGTATTATATGTACTAAAAACCCCTAAAATGTGCACTAAAACTCCCTCAAATGTGCATATTGTATGCAGTAAAAACTCCTCAAAAATGCCATGTAATTTGGACTAAAAACCTCCAGTATGTATATTGTATTAATTGTTATGTTAATTGTTGCATTCAAAAAAACCCTCAAATACACTATAAACTCCTCAAATATGCCATATAATATGCACTAAAAAACTCCTCAAATAAGCAATAATATATTCATTAAAAAACCCCTCCAAATATGCCATATAGTATGCACTAAAAAAGTCATCAAATATGCAATGTAATATGCAATAAAAATAATTAAGGGGTGCCATATAAAAAGCACCAAAAACTGCTCAAATATGCTATATAATATGCACTAAAACACTCATCAAATATGCAATAAAATAATTGAGGGATGCCATATAAAAAAGCACCAAAAACTTCTCAAATATGCCATATAATATGCACTAAAAACTCATCAAATATGCAATAAAAATAATTGAGGGATGCCATATAAAAAGCACCAAAAACTGCTCAAATATGCCATATAATATGCACTAAAACACTCATCAAATATGCAATAAAAATAATTGAGGGGAGCCATATAAAAAGCACCAAAAACTGCTCAAATATGCCATATAATATGCACTTAAAAAAAAACCTCAAATGCAATAAATTCCCCAAATATGCCATGTTGTAATATGAATTGAAAACTCCTCACATAAACAATAATATATTCATTAAAAAAACCCTCCAAATATGCCATATAATATGCACTAAAAAACTCCTCAAATATGCAATAAAAATCCCTCAATTATGTCATATAAAAAGAACCAAAAACTTCTCAAATATGCCATATAATATGCACTAAAAAGCATTGAAATATGCCATACAATAAGGACTAAAATCCTCAAATATGTATATTGTACGCACTAAAAAAACCCTCAAATGCAATAAACTCCCCAAATATGCGATGTAATATCAATTGAAAACTCCTCAAATAATCCCGCTCGTGCCATTGACTTTTTTATCTGAACTTAAAACATTAATTAATTGTAAGATATCGATTGATCAAGCGGACCACGAAATTAGTGAATTGAATGTTTAAAATGAAGTATACCTTCACTAAAGCTCTCTGTGGCCATTTCATTTGTCGCCGAGAATCGAATTGATTACACGACATTTGAAAAATGGCAAAAAGGAGGGAAAATTCAAAAGGTGGGGTTGAGATGAGAAGTTAGTGTCTGAGTGGATCGAGGTCACGATAGCTCAAGTGGTAGCGCAGCGGCGTATCTAGCCGAAGATCGTGGGTTCGAATCCCGCTCGTGCCATTGACTTTTTTATCTCAACTAAAAACCTTAATTAATTGTAATATATTAATTGGTCAAGCGGACCACGAAATTAGTGAATTTATAGCTATTATATTACTAAATTTTGTGCAGGTTGTATATAACTCATATTGTTATATGGCTGCATATTTATTTATATTGAGTTAATAAAAAAATTGATAATAAAAAATGAAAACATTGACATGTTCAATCAATCCAACTCAAAAATTGGATATTAGATATTCTTTCTACTAACAACTGTCAAACATGTACTGGAATTTTAACTCTCCACAATGTTTATCACTACTACGCCCTTTAGCTAAGATGAAATTTTACACGTTTCAAAAACTATAGCTATTATTACAATTAATTATGTAATCTACATAATTATCTAATAGCAGATTTGCCTGCAACATCTTTCTTATTTCTGAACAAACTCTTTTTATAAACAGATTCAATTTGACTACTCATTAAACGGTGACACTTTTCCTTATTTGCATAACAATGCAAATTTTCTGTTGTAATTCAGACATTTTACACTCCTTTGAATAATTATCATGACGTAATTATGATTATTCAGCTTTTTTTTTTTATCTCGGTAGGGAAAACAATAGGCTCCAACCCTTAAGTCAAGTCTTAGCCTGTACCAATTTTAATAAAATTTATAACAAATCAGCGAGGTTTTTGTATAATTGTGTAATAGCAGTTTTGTCTGCAACATCGTGATGTATAAATTCTTTGGATAAACAGATTCAATTTGACTACTAATTAAACAATTTTCCTTATTTTCATAACAACTTAAATTTTCTATTGTAATCTAGACGTTTTACACCCCTTTGAATAATTATCATGATAATTAAGATTATTCAGCATTTCATTATCTCCCAGATAAATAGGGAAAAAACCCGAGTCACATATTGTCAAGTTCATTTGTAATTATTTTTACCCAGATTCACTTAATCCTGATATAAAACCCAGGCTGACAGATTTTCTTGTTCTAATTTGTGGATTATCTTCTTTTTTTCAGGCTAATATATAACATGATTTTATTGAATATTATTTTATTTATTCGTGTTACAGGCGTTTTCTTTGATAACAGAGTGGAACATATCAAGTTTGTTGACTTCTGTGGCAAATACAGAGTGCCGCTATTACAGTACCTTTGCTCTGCCAAGTGTGTAAACGATGACTCAGCTCTCTTCAGCTCTCCCGACCATGGTATGATGCGTAAGGTTCTTCTTGGATAACACTTTCTCTCATGGTATTTACTAACTTTATCTAAGGATGACTATCGAAAATCTGTTTAAGGACTTTAACACGAGAACGATTATATTATCATTAGTCACATTTTTAGGCTACGTCATTGGTCATTTCTATTTTTTTTATAAATAAATATGCCCAATGTATAGCCTAGGTAGGCTTACTGTTTTAAATTGTGTTCTGTGAAACAATCACAAAATATTATATAGATACAGTTTTATAAGTATGTATAATTAAATTATATGAAAATTTATATCAATATATTTATATCAAAAGTTATAATCAAAAAAGAGTTATATCAATTTTTTATTGCCGAATTCTATGCAATCTGTGCCAATTGTTCTAGGTGGTGAGTATCTGTCTTTTCAAAAGAGGGGATTATTGTGATATAAATTAATGCTTGATGTACTAAGCAGGTTTTTAAATACAAGTTAAAATATAATTGTAAATAATTTATCAATTCTGTGATAGTTGAACTGTGGAAAAATGAATTTTCAAATCTTAAAAGAATAATTTATTGACTGGACATTATTAATACTTTACTCTTTTTGTTTTTTTAACTTTTAATTTATTGTTTTGCCATTTAGTTATTTTACCATCGATTAATTAAAATATTCCTTAGTTTTGCTTAGTTACCTTCACACTATTTTTTTTAAGATAAAAAACCATGTAACAACTGAATAAATGTAATTGAAATTATCTTTGTTTGTCATTTCATTTACCTTTGCTTGGATTTATATACTTTGTTTTTATTTTTGCAGGAAGAATAATGTATTAAGATTTGTTAATCAGAAAAATGAAATTTAATATTGAAATTATTGTCTTTTCTGGTTGGCTAATTTGCCGGTTTCTCATGTTTAGTCGTATCTCGCAGTTTGTAAATAACCTCTATCTTTGATTTTAACCTTTTCACACCTGATTAAAATGTCACAAGTCGATTAATATATATTCATGCTATTTCAAAGATTATCTAACCAGAGTTTGGCAGGACTCGAGAGTTCTCGATCCGTACCCATACAACAATGATTCAGAACCTGGCAAGGCGATTTTCACCTTGATGCCTTCCTTCATTCCCGCCAATAAATACATTCACGTTCAGTAAAAATCATGCATTCACTATCTTAAGTTAACCTAATTGGTTCGATAGATCTGTAGATACTTGATAATCCACACTGACCTAGACGTAATGTAAGGTGTGTGTAATCAGCACCCTTTGAAGGTTATTGTATCTATGTTCTGTACTTAAATTCACTAATTTTGTGGTCTGCTTGACCAGTTAATATATTACAATTAATTAAGGTTTTTAGTTGAGATAAAAAGTCATTGGCATGAGCGGGATTCGAACCCACGATCTTCGGCTTGATACGCCGCTCTCTACCACTTGAGCTGTCGTGACCTCGATCCACTCAGACACCAACTTCCCATCTCAACCGGACATTTTGAATTTTCCCTCCTTTTTGTCATTTTTCAAATGTTGTGTAATCAGGTTGGATTCTTGACAACAAAAGAAATGGCCACGGAGAGCTTTAGTGAAGTATAGTTTTTAGTTGAGATGAAAAAAAGTTGATGTCCGAGTGGATCGAGGTAACGATAGCTCAAGTGGTAGTGCAGCGGCGTATCTAGCCGAAGATCGTGGGTTCGAATCCCTCCCGTGCCATTAACTTTTTTTCATCTCAACTAAAAACCTTAATTAATTGTAATGTATTAATTGGTCAAGCGGACCACGAAATTAGTGAATATACCGACTTCCTTCCCCACCCCTTCAAAATCCAACGTATATAAACACAAAATAGCAAAATCTCACTGGCACTCGACACGACGCGCAAGAATGGCATAATTACACAGAAGACACACTTTGTGTGAGTAGAAATACTTTGATTGAATATAAAAAATATATTTTGCATTGTATAAATTCACTTTTCCACATCCTAAATGTATTTGTTAAATGTAAACAATGTTTGTAAATCCCAGACCCTGAAGATGATCTCAATAAAGATCAAAACGTTGGCATGATAAAGAAAATGTTTTTCTGAAACCTACATCACACCAGACCGCATCTCACGATTTCTGAATAATTTTAAAATAGTAGTAAAATAGAATACACTTTATTTTGTCAAGTAAGTCACAACATGATAGGACAAAAAATGCCTAAGTGTCTACAGCAGGGGTGCTCAAACTTGGACTGCTGGCGATCTACCTCAATATTTTTAGACTACTTACGATCGACTCTGAGAGGCTGCAAGTGTGTGTGCAGGGTTGTCGTACATACACGATACACCCTACCTACCTAGGTAGGGTGTACCGTAGCATATATAGATATTAGCTTTCTGCACAATATAGGTACATTATTTTAGTCAAGGTTTGGGTTAGGTTTATGTGGCCATTTCATTTGTCGCCGAGAATCGAATTGATTACACGACATTTGAAAAATGGCAAAAAGGAGGGAAAATTAAAAAGGTGGGGTTGAGATGAGAAGTTAGTGTCTGAGTGGATCGAGGTCACGATAGCTCAAGTGGTAGCGCAGCGGCGTATCTAGCCGAAGATCGTGGGTTCGAATCCCGCTCGTGCCATTGACTTTTTTATCTCAACTAAAAACCTTAATTAATTTAAAGATATTGGTCAAGTGGACCACGAAAACTAGTGAATTTAATAAATTTAATTGTTTCTCATCACAAAAAGAAAAGTTAATCAATTTTATTTGAGTACCCAAGGAATCAAATTATATAAATATTTTTAGGTGGTTTTTTGTAGAAGGAGTAAATACACTATTTTAATTTTTACCATATTTGTTGCTATTTTTATTTGAAACCAAACTAAAATTATTAGTTATCACATAACATCTCAACTGGTTCATATAAAAATTTTTGATCTGATAACAGAATTATTATTAGTAGTGTGTAAGTAGATGTAAGTATGAAAGTTTACAAAATTCAGGCTAAGCTGTCAAGAATTAATGAGGTGGAACAAATTTTTGATCAAAACCACGATTATTGCTTTGGATCCTTTGAAATGGTGGCAAGGCACCAATGTACTATAATATCAAATATTGCAGTGACTCACCATTTCTTTTAACTGCCAGAGCCTGATAAATCTTTTGTCTGTAGGCTTAGGTTCACCCAGTCCTGGCCTGGAAATAATTTGTTTAAAAAAAAGTCAAAACACACGTATAAGTNTCGACTGGTCGATCGCGATCGACCGTTTGAGCACCCCTGGTCTACAGCATTCTACCTGAGTTGTTCTTACAAAAAAAAAAAGGTTACTTCAAAGTATTATTATTTTTTTATTCAACAATTAAATTCCTTAACCAGTTATCATACCTATACTTACAAGCATTTCAGGCATATCTTAGATGTTAATTTTCCTTTAACAGAAACTCAAGTACTTAAACCCTTGTTGGCTGAAAGAATCCTAAATGAAGAACCGCACCAACCCAGGATAGTATTCCGCATTTAACAGACTGCGTGAATTGCATAAAGAGTTCCCAACCTCTCATTTATTATTATCATTCCGCCAGATGACCGTATCGGGGGCACAGTTCACTCTCAAAGCACACATATTTAAATATAGGCCCGGCCTCGTCAGTGAGACACTGAGCGAGGTCAGAGCTAGGCACCTAGACAGTGTGTGATTTTGGTTGCATCTTAGCATGGTAGAATCCATCCAGCCTTTGTTCGTTCTTCCCTGATTTTTCCCTATTGATAAAGTAAAGAAAATATATTCATTTTACATTACATAACTGATTATTTCATACAACTTATCTCGACAGGGCCTGCGAGCACATGGCTTAAATTGTTCCCAACCATTTTATGAATTAAAACTGGCATTGCTTTTAGATGGACTCAGTAACAATTTGAATATGTCTAATTTTCTCGTGGGGAAAATGTTCTTAAGTAAAACTGGACGGACAAGGTTCTGCAGGTTAATAGAAGGAAAGTTTTAAAATTTTTAGCACCGATCCCCCACGTTTTTTGCGCGGATAAGGCCGCTTTAGTCTCCAGGGATGACTGGTAGGGTTAAAACGGTAACTAAGTTGTGGTGTGAGCGGGCTTTTGGACTTTTACCAAGCGTAGTTCGAAAAGCGGAAAAAATAAATTTAATTAATTACCGGCTTTAATGTCATTCCGCGGTCCGGCTACGATTAAAAAACTTTCTGTAATGAATTACAAACGTAAGAGGGTATGACATAGACTGATGCTTGGGCGAATACTTCGCTCCCCATAAAAGACATGTTATTCCATTGGTGAAAGTTGTAACTGTGAAACAATCAAGATTATTACATACACTTGACCCAATTTTCGCCGGGAAAATAATACCGGGGATCCTCTCTAATAATCGATATTTTCGTTTAGCTAAAAATCCTGACGGACCTTTAACCTTTTTTGACCCCATTGTAAAGATTTATTTTAAACCTGGGCTAGGAACGAATCGTTTTCGCACTAAAGGTTCTCTAATTTATAAAGATGTCAACTTAAAATGTCCCATGTCAGCTTAGAAGCAAAATGGCGTTTAGGCTTCCATCCAATCAAGCCGAATGTAAAAAAAGAAAGAAAAATAATCTTAATAATTCACTAGTTTTCGTATTCCGCAAGACCAATTAATATCTTTCAATTAATTAAGGTTTTAGTTGACATAAAAAAGTCAGTGTCACGAGTGGGATTCGAACCCACGACCTTCGGCTAGATACGCCGCTATTCAACCACCTGAGCTATCGTGACTTCGGTAGAGCAGCGGCATATTTAGCCGAAAGTCGTGGGTTCGAATCCCACTCGTGACACTGACTTTTTTATGTCAACTAAAAACCTTAATTAATTGATAAATCATAATAATAATAAAAGAACAAAAAAAAATCAAAATGTACACAAGCATTAACTCTTAGCTAATTTTAACCATAAAGCTTGTAACTTAATTATCATCTATTTGTCTTATTATAAAAAATATTTTTATGTAATCACCATTTATTGCGAAAATATCGATTTCTCCATGACAATTTCAAAAGCAATTTATATTAAACTAATAATCTTTTTCCTGATCAAATTAATGATTTTATATTGGGTTGTCCGGAAAATAATGCAGGATTTTGGGNCATACAAATGAGTAATCCTGTAAACGTAAACAGAATATTTTATATAGATTTTTTTTAATGAAAACTTAAAATCCTGCATTATTTTCCGGACAACCCGATAAATTGATTTTTGCCATGAGATGTGATTAATAAAGATTTTACCGCAAATAAGATAGTATTTCATTGACTACGCATATGTTTGCATTTGACAATCAATTTCTACACGATTAATTTGATGCTTATCTCGTTAAACAGTTTTATATTTAATTTCTTGTGTCATTTCCTTCATGACAACTCAAGTACTAGCATTTCGTTGACTTCGTGATAAAACGTTTTACACTTGGCAAGTTAAAAGCATAAATCGTCCACCCATTTATGTTGATCCTTCGACCCCCAAGCATTTTACGATAAAAAAATTATATTTACATTATTAAATTCAAGATGTTTTCAAATGTTTTTGCTCTTGACTCCCATTTCGTTGACTACGGTACAAAAATAGTTGCTCTTGGCAATAAATTTGATCCACACGTCCCCCTCAAATCAAAAATTTATAATAAATAAGGCATCTTTTCAATAATCAATTTCACGATTTCTGACTGTGTTGGTCGTAGATGTGGTTAATAATGGTTTCATCTGA